TTTCGCAGGAAGCTATGGAAACTATACGAGCAGAACCTGTTGTTGATGTTGTTTCTAATGTCCTCTCCCAGGCCAGCTGCAACACCTTTTCTTTGAAGAATGCCGGTATCAGGATAAGCTGCCCTAGACTTCGGGAACGGCTTGCTGCTCATCAGGAAAGTTTAGCTGTCCTCGTCGAACAAGTGGATCAACTGAAGAGGAAGGCAAAAAACACTGATAGGGAGTTTGAGGAGTTCAAGAAACAGCAACAAGAGGAGTACAATAAGCTCCGTGAGCATATCATGCTCTTAAGCGCTGGTCACTCTCAGTCTTATTGATGCAGTGAACATATGGTTTGTTTGCTGTTTTGATGTGAAATTTTGGCGGCTCGATATGTGAACTCTGTCAGTGATTTGCTGCTGAGTTGAACTGCTGTTATTTGATTCAGGTCCAATATAATTATGCAAGTAGTCATTTTGTGCAGCAGTGTAGATCTAAAATCATTTTCTCTGATGTAATGATTGGTGTGCACGTGGTAGATCCGGCACATGCATGTTGTTAAATAAGAATCTGACACGTGTACGAACCAGTGAATGACACATGTAAGAGCCACGACAGGGCATGTGGGCCAATACAAACAAAATACGTGGTATAAATCCGTCCTGCCACATGGTCAAATCAGAAAAAGACATGTGGGTAGCTCAGGGCGTGACATGTGGCCCAATAAAATACTGACACGTGGACGTACAAAATCGAGACACGTGGTCGAGAAAAAGAAAGACGCGTGGGGTATTGTGGTCACACCATGTGAACCAATAAAAATACGACACTTGGTCCAATGAAGAAGTGACACGTGACCCAACCGTAATACGACACGTGTGCCAATAGAAAACTGACATGTGGAACAACAGGGTCTCGACACGTGGTCTAGTAAGAAGCTAAAATGTACAAGAACCAGAGATGACCACGTTGTGCAATAAGAAGGTGACACGTACCCGAACCATCTCTAATGCAACCGGCTACAGCATGTACACGTGGAAAGCATCTCCAACGAAAGCACCCGCTAGCATGGCTGCCCCCTGCCACGCATGCCAAAGCAGTTCTATGACGATCAGTTTTCGTCATAGATCTATCCAATTCTATGACGAATTTCTAGAATCGTCATAGAATTGCAAGAATGACGCGACTTCTATGACGAACCATTTTTCGTCATAAATTCTTCATAAAACTGAAATTATGACGAATTTGGCTCCTTCAATGACGAAAATTATTTGTCATAGAAGTGGATATTTCTAGTAGTGACACCATGGTTCGACGCTCAGTCAACCCCTCAGTTCACTTCCAATTCAAATCCTTTGTGAATGAGGTTGACTACAACTGATTCTTGGGCCTTCTCACAGCTACATAGTGCTAAGTTTGACAAGTGTGCACCAAACCTAAACTATTAGACTCACCTATATCAAGCTACTGGTTCATACCTCCTTTATAGTATGACCAAAGGAAAACAAAGTCCTAGACTACTCTAAGTGTCTCCCAACTCTAATTGACACTTAGAACTAGTTTGCTCTTAACCTTGTCATCCATCCTTTGAAAACTGAAACGAATTTCATCAATAGGGGCATGAAAACCATCGATTGCCTAAACAATCACTAATATCGTGATCTAACTCAAATTGCCTCTACAAAACATATGTTAATCACAATTGTGTAGTTATTAATCACCGAAACCCAACTAAGGGCCTAGATGCTTTCACCTAGGACCTATCTAACACATCTGAACAATCATGTTAGACTCAGTGCTTGTGTATTCATCTAAATCACCAAAACCATATATAATCATGCATAGAGCACATGATCCTTATAAACTGTAATAACAAAATATTTTAGTACTACTCCATCCGTCATAAAATATAAGATGTCTAATAAATTTAGGATATATTAAGCAAATGAGCATATAGATAGCCTGAGCCTCGTCAATAGCTAGTTCGTCCTATAAATTTGTTGGCCCTAGTTCAACCACAAAAATATGATAGTTTTGTTTCTTTTGAAAACCTAATGTTCATATCACTCTTTTCCATGACTAATTACTATGTCAATTACAACCCAATGATGCGAAGTTTAGCAATTCTTCACTGTGATCTGTGTAGGACTTTTAATAAACAAAGGTAGTAATATGCAAGTGTGATGGTGAGATGAACACGCTCATCACTATTATTATTGTTAGGCCAATAGCTAGTCTTGTCTTTGGTGTAGCACAAAAGAGATAGATACCTTCAGACATTATATGCTTTAATAACATGCCTGCTAGGGGAGAAAGTTCTAGAACACATATTTTGGCATCCTGTAGGGAAGCACCTCATATCATAATTTGTGAAGAAAAATGTCGTGTAGACTCTTTTTATTGTGGAAGGTGTTTACTGACATAGGGAGTAGCCTATATGGTGTATATGCATACGAATCCAGGACCAAATGGTTCATCGTATGTCATCTATGGCAGAGATCATTCCTTGTTCTTGTGAAGCAAAGGGGAGCACACAACACTAATATACTTGCGTTAGTTTATATAGATGACGTGCTATATATAAAATTGGAGATGTGCAATATATGCGGTGGTCAAGAGCTAGTGTAGTATATGGAATATGGACTTCGATTATTAGGTTATGTAATATGACAACTATTAATAAGTATGTAAATGTGTGTTTGTTGATAGATAAGGCGATTTTACTCTGTGTGTTTGTGCGTGATTTATTGACGAACCTAATTATCTTCACCGTCCCCTCTGTTCCCCTCTCTAGTTCAAGAAATTGAATTTGTTTTTCAAATTGATTTAGTCATGTTGCAAAAGAGTACAATTGTGGAGCACTCCCGGTTCTTAATGCGAAGCAGTTGCAGAACTTGCAATTTTAGTTCACTATAACCTGTAGCAACGATGACTTTACCCAAGGGGAACAACCGGGTGATAGTATACGCGAGCACCGTAAAGTCGACTTCCCCTCCTTGCTCCTTGGCATCGTACTGTAGCTTGATCTACCGGTTCGCCTAGCCCTTTGTCAGTTTGCCAGGTGGCGGTTGTGTACGCGAGTAGAGACTAGAGATAGGATGTCATGTCATGTCATGTTCTGCCAGTCCAATCCTCACCAAGTCTAGTAGCAACTTGGACGGGATTTGTTCACATAAACGGGTTATAAGTAAGCTGGTGAGGAAAGATGAAAGGGTAGGAGCAACTTGAACGGAACACCTTAAATTAGAGCTTGGATTTTTTTTATTGCAGATCCTCCTATTTTTACATGCATTATTTTCTGACCACGACTCACTCTCAAATCATACTCGTTCGCTGCAGCTTGAAAGCTGTCACTGCTGCATCAGCCTGTATTTTATTGAGGAGATAGCAGCCGCAGCTGCTACTATGGCTGTGCCGAAGCCTCTACTCTTATGACAAGTGAGACCCAACTGTTAACGAGTCAGTATTTTATTTTATTTTATTTTTCCTTTTCTCCCACCTCTTCATCTTCAAGATGATTAAGGATGAGCTCGGTTAGCCGGGGGTAGGGAAGCTAGAGGGGCACAGCTTAGGGTAGGACGTCTAGAGGGTCACACGACGGGCTTGAGCAGCTGAAGGTGTTTTGGTTGGGGTTTTTGGGAGCTGTTTTGCTTCTAAAAAGCCAAAAGCTAACTAAAGGAGTGAAAATCCAAAAGTTACTTTTTTAGAAACAACTACTTTTGAGTAATACAGTTTTGAAAAGCACCTTGACTGCTTTTGACTTTCTGTTTATTAAAATGATAAAAATAAAGAGTTGTTTCACAGTTGTTTAAAAAAAATAGACATAGGAGGTAAGTTTTATACTTGTTTGAACCAAGTTACTTATAGTTTTTCCATAGCCCACAATCTACAGTAGTTTTTCTACCGTCTACAACTCATATTAGCTTTTTAGAAGGCACGGCTCAACAAACACACCCTAAAGGGGCACACCATTGGGATTGAGAGACCAAAGGTCAAGCATGATGGCTGGCAGGCCGAGTTCAGCCAGTCATGGCATACAGGCCCAAACCGACATAGATCTCCATGGGTGCCCTAAATCCAATGGGAAAACAACCAGTGAGGATGCAGATGGTTGTCATGGCATGATTCCCGGCAATAGGGCATTGGAGACGGTTGGTGACCACTGGATTCAAAGGAGAAAGGTAGCAAACTACGAGCAGCTATGTGGGGTCTGGACGAGTGCGCATGAGCAAGAGGGAAACGGCCACGAGAAAAGTCAAAGCGAATCAGAGTCTGAGGGGAAATTTTGAGAACATCATACTTTTAGGTGTCTGATGAATATTGATTTATTAAAGTGGATTTTTTTGCCTCCCATCGCTCAAAAATAAGACATGGGTCATTGCTGGAGTTGCTCTGACGTGTAGGTGTCTGTCTATAATGATTTTAACAGTGAAATTGACCTCACTGACATTACACAGCTACGCTGACAAAGTTCATGCCAGTCACCTCATGATCCTACGGCATCAGACCACAGTCCAATATTCCATGTACTGCCGCACACGACGTGGACGCATCATCACGCATGGAAACAAGGCGGCAGCAGCCAAAGAGGCAAGAGGAATCGCCGGGTCAGGACGAATGTCTCAGAGGCGACAAAACGGATGGTGCAAGTCGTGACCAGAGAGGCACCAAGGCCAGCACGCTCGCTGCAAAGCCTACCGGGAATTCTCAAAGCCAGGCTGCACGACACGATTGATACTGTATCAAAGGTCTTCTGGTGCCCTGCAACAAACCACAGTGTGGCAGTCTAGCACTGAACCAAACCAACTGGCAGCCGACGAGACATGAACAGCAAGATGGACTAGCTGGGGGTAGGGACTAGGAACTGGATCTGAATGTCATTCATGTAATCGTTCAAAACTGGGTCCTTATCTACCTTTTCTTCTCATTTCTCTGATGGCGAAAATACCGGACTTCAGTTATCACACCAATCATCGTTGTACAACACAGCTAAATAATTAGCAACGGTGTTTCGAGCTCTCCTACTCCTGCTGCTTCTTGTCTTGTGCCATCTTCTTGCGGAGCTCCTGTACAGCGTTGAAGATGCCCCCTGTCGGTTTGAGGCAGACGTAGCACTTCTTGTTCTTCGAGTGGTGCTGAAATATTGAAGAAGAAAAAATGGTTAGAGTTTGGCCTACCACAGAGAACATGATCAAAAAACTATGTACAAATATACAAGTCAAGTCTCATCTAAAGCAAGCACAAAAAAATTGAGATCGGAACTAGCATTCAACCAAATAAAAACAAAAACAAAAACAAAAACAAAAACATGATCGACAGCTACTTTCACATATCCAATATCCATATATTTCACATAACAGTTTGCACAAGGGGTCTGGAACTCTTGATAAAGAAATGTTTCTGGAAGAGTCCAAACCGTCAACTCTAATCTGCACTAATACAATACGGAATTCTCAACTTGTTCTACTCCAGCCTCATAAAATGGAGTTTAACAGTAACGCTCATGACTTATATTTTGTTTATTAGTATAACAATGACATCTATGGTAGGTTCATATATCTTCTGCCAATAAGTTTTATTGCCACGCACACTTAACACAGTCCCACTCCATAGAGCTACAAAATACTCTGTTCTCTAAAAACTAAATCACACTAAACCTGGCATGCCTATTCCACTATCATTGTACTGGATGCCCTGGAAACTAAATTGACAGAAACCTCAATACAAATTTTATAAGCAAATAGTTCTGTTCTCTAAAATAAAAAGTTAACAAATCCAAATTGTTTGACATCACCAACAAAACACATACTACTGTACATCTCAAATACACTCCACAATGTATTCATCACCCACATGATGTACCCCACACAATCCCTCTAGATGGAGACTTCTGCACTTGGCCCTTGCAAGGTATACAAGATTCTCAAACCTTAATTATTTGTACCGTATGGTTGCTAGTTTGGTACCCCTTTTTCTTCAATTGGTGTGTAACTGCTCAATTGGGATTTATGAGTAAAAGACACAAGTGCATCGTAATAAACTTCCATGTGCTTTTTGTACAGGATTGATATAAGACAAGGATGAGGAGGTGAGTCCTTAATGAGCAAAGGTTTTTTTCCGTAATGGTGAAAACAAAATATGTTTGAAGTCTCTGTGAATGTATACCTCCTTCAATGTTCATATACCTTATTCTGTTTAGTTTCTAATAATATCACTCAGGCATGATTCAAATAAAATATCTCTATGTTGAAGTGTCACTTAACTCGGCTGCACTTCAGAAACAGCAGATGGTTACGATTGGAGTTCCTCTGAACATGTGATTTGTGGGTTTAACAGTAGATCTCAATCAGCAAGACTATTCCTTTAATCCAATAATCAGAATGAGAGTAAAACGTGGCCTTATCATTCTGCAGAAATGCATAGGAAAGAGGCTTGGAGGCAGAGCACAAGTGGATAACATTTAGATGGTAGCCATGATTGCCTGTGCCTCTTCTGATTCAGATGGATGGATTTAACTTGTCAAGTGACAGGTTAAGAATTATGGCATTGGCTTCTTGCACGGCCAATTGGACCATGTCTTTAATGGAAAGGTGACCCAAAAGGTCTCAAGGCAACTATCTCAAGGCTTGCATTGTTGTCTAATCCAGCCAGCCTTTGCTTGTAAACTATAAGTCCTCCTATCCTTCTGCAACGAAAAGAGTTACATATGTAACCTTCCATTTGAAATCAGATCACTGCTCCTTCCATACCCAAAACAATGTATGATGCATTGTCCCACACTAGGAAGAATTGCCATCATGAGCAACGTTATCAAATCGTGAAATCATCTAGTCGGCTTGACATGGGACCGATCAGGCGACTAATCATAATTAGTTGTGTAACCAACCTGTTTAGCCAGTTGGTCCTGCCGTCCTGGTCGTCCATATAGCCACCCTGTATATTATTCCAGGAACGTTGCACTATATAGTAGTAGAACGCAAGCAGCAAGTCTAGAAGTACTAGGGCACAGATTCTTGTGTGATTGGATGGCCAGTTGGCCGCTTATCCACATTTGCACATACATCACAACCACACAGGTATACGTGTATGTAATCACTAAGCAGAAAGCAGCAGCAGGGCATGAGGCAAGAACAGCAGCAGCAGTAGAGCTAGAGCAGCAACAGCAGAGCTAGAGAATCAGTGGAGGAGCTCATTTTCAGGTTGGAACAAGGGACCCGACCCGATGGGCAGCGGTAGAATCTGGCACTGCTTCTGGCCTACGGGACAGGATCCGACCTTTGGCAATGGTTGCGCCCAGCAGAGGCAGGCAGGCACCAGGCAGCAACGGGAGCCAATGGAGATCTGTGGAAGGGATCAGGGTCTGGGCTGGGCAGGGATGTGAACCAGCCCACAAGCTTCGGTGGCGGCAGCGGCAGCGGCAGCGGCAGCAGCTGCTGGAAAGCAATTAAACCCAAACACTACAGACAACGTCCTGCTCCTGGGCTGCTCTGGACAGTGTATATTCTAAAACCTAATGAGCCAAATTACCAGCCTACCCGCCAACCGAAACCCAGCTGCTCAGGCAGCCCAATACACAGAATGAAAGCTAGTTGTTTTCCATCCTAATTGGATGGCTAATCGTGATTAAGCAACAATTAGTCAGACGACTTGGAAACTGGTCAGAAAAATCGAGTTGGTGGGCATAATCGGAGTCATGGGACCGATCAGTCCAAGTAATCGTGATTAATCGGACGACTTGATAACACTGATCATGAGATCACTTGTGTGGATAGCTCAAAGCTAACTCAGTGGACTCATGAAAATAATGAAGATCCACCACCTCCGGGAGTTCAAAAATGTGTCCCTTGAGATCAAAAAGTGGAATCTCATGTAGGTTGGTCTAATAAAGGCTGCTCCTCCAGATGAAATAGGATTCCTACTTGTGTTCAGAAGGACCACAGTAAGAGAATCAGCAGAAAAAAGAGATGGACATCTCTAGGCAATTTATTTTTAAGTTGATAAAGCTGCTTACATTTTAAGTACTAAGGGACATGTTTCTAGATTCATGCTATCCTTGTTCTCTGGAAGTAAAGAAGCAGAGTTCACCATACAGAAGCTTTCATCTGCATGAAGTAATAGTCTCAGTTGAGAAATCAGAAGTGAATGGACTGTCATGAAAAGTAGGGAGGGGGAAATTCCCATACAAAGGGCAATGTTTCAACTAATATTATCAATTCCATTCCAATAGCAGAAGAAACAGGCAGTATATCTCGTTCTGCCACCTAAACGAGACACCACCCAGTACCGGCCCTAATCTCAGTCGATTCCGGCTAATCCAGTCAATCTCGCCCATTCTGCACAGTATTCGGCAGACCATTTGTCCCGGTACAGTCCACATATGACCAAGCAGAGGAGTATTTCACCAATGGTAAGAAATCAAGAAAGAGGGATCCAATGAGTAGGAATTAGGAAGATATCAAGAATCTTTGTTTATTCGATCACGAATATAGTAGATCAAGAAACATTTAATTTAATTTAAGATCTGAAAAAGAACAAGAAATTACATATGAAGGAAAAGGAACTACATCAAGGCATTGGCATCAGTGAGCTTTCGTGGTATAGACATTGAAAGCAAAGAACGGTGTGATGGGATAGCAGCTAGACAGCGCATCAAGCCAAGCATTGGCCGCGCGGGACAAAAGCCAAGCAGCAGTCACACCTGCTGCGGTGGCACAGCCTCAGCTGTTTCTCTCGGTACAATGAACAGGTGGATAAGGCAACAGGGAAAGGATCGATGCTTTATTAGCTTCTTGCATTTACAGTTGCTTTTGCTTGCCTGCTTCATGGACCAGTTACAATGCTATCTACTGGGCCCATGTTGGTGGCAATGGTACGGCCCTGGACTACAATTCAGAACGCAAAAGACTCACTAGTGCATATAAATGTTTACTAATTTGTAAATACATATAACACTGGAATGGACCTGTACTGACACGTTCCGTTCCAAGAGGAAACCCGGAATGACATCCAGAACAGAATTGACAAATATTATGGTTTCAAAAGTTCAATAGCCCCGTTCGCGTGCCCTTAAACCCGGCTTGATCCGCTTATTTTTTTATCGGGAACAGTGTTTTTCTCTCACAAATTCCTCCAGCATTCCTCCAAACCATCCAGATTCCTCCAAAATTCAGACAAGCGAATTAATAGGACCACAGGAGTAAAACTTGCTGGAATCATGTGTAGAAGTGTGAAGAAGCAAGGGTGTTATTTGGTGGAACATCCTGTAACAGAACCGTCCAATTTATAAGAGCACAAGTATAATAGCAATCACCAAAGCGATCAAACTATCGTACTTGAGCCCATATAAACCCGGTAGTCAGATGAAATCACAAAGGATCTTAAATAAACCAACATACAAACCAAGATCGTACATGATTCAACATAACCAGACACATGTTACATCACAGTTCACAAATAGTTCACAAATATCTCATATACATCGGAGTTCACATAGTTATTACAAACCAGGTTTAAATAGCGGAAGCAAAGTAGTTTGACATCAACTTCATACTTAATTCAAATACATGTCAGTACCACGGTCATTTTCAGCAAAAACAGAACAGAGAGAATATCTTAGGAGTACCATGCCCCATGGTTTAGTCCTCATCCACGGCAGGATGAAGACAGTTCTTACAGTACCCATGATACATCATGTCATCTGCAACAAGAGAGAATAAACCCTGAGTACGAGAATGTACTCAGCTAGACTTATCCGTCATAAACCAGAAATAATATGACACCAAACAGTATGCAAGGCTTTATCGGTGGAGTTAGCTTGACAACATTTTGCATAAAAGCTTAAAGTAACATAACTTGAAGATTTAGTACCTCTAGCATCAATTTGAATACATATTCAATTAAGCATCTCTAGATTAGCACATGTACTAGAGCAATCACTTGATTAAGCTAACAAGCATTAGTAACCATATGAGGTGTAATAATTTGAGCATCATCATAACCATCAAGTTCCATCAATTAATGCTACGTTGCAGCTGCTCAGTCAAGTTCTCACTATCCGGGAGAGACGGCGACTCGAATCAATTCCAACCAGCTAGGGAGTTATTTCTAACACAAACACATACTTCCCCCGTTGGGG